TGTTGGAGCCAAAGCCCCCGAAACCACCGCCGAAGGACATTTTGAGCGTGTCCGACGGGTTGCGCGTGTGCTGGTGGCTAGTTGGCTAGCAATGCGCTGTAGCGTCGTGAGGTTGTTGGGCGGTTGATAGATTCGAGGCGCTGCAGCTCTTAGAGAGGCAGGTGTTGATGAGAGCTTCGCGGAAAACGCGCCAAGGAATGGGCGGACGAGAACAAGGCGCGGTGGGGGTTTGCTGCGAGGAGCAAAAGAGTAAAGAGTGGAATTAGTAAGAAGATCAGGCGCGGCACTGATTAAGTAGTGAAATGGCCGTCATGGAAGGGAAAGAGCGACGGGCGCGAGAGTTTGGAGGGACAAGCAAAGGTGAGGTTGCACTTAGGAGGAAGGCACGTCAAAATTGCGCTAACCCGTCACCGGGCGTCACGTGTGCCTCTCCTAAACACGATTGCCAGCAAAAGACTCTTCGATACGGTTGCAGCTGTTGCACGCATGACAAAACGAGACAGCGATTGACGAATAATACGACACGCTTTCTGGGCGCGACTTGTGCGAGAAGATGCCTGATGGATACCTGTTGCTACCTACGGCTGCCTGGTGACTGAAGACAGCCTTGGCAACAAATCCTCGCGCAACCGGACTCACATTGCAAGGAAGAGACCGGTCTAGCCAGAGATGGATGACTGTGATTCTGGCTGGGACGAAGGTGTGCCAGACAAAGGACTTGTTTTTGCGCCTGGTGAGACGTTACGCTCCCTTACTTCACGCCCTCCTCTCAGCCGCTCCACCGCGTCATTCCAAGTGCAGGGTTGGTCGATAAGGCAGGCGTCTTTCAGATCATGTGAAGATTGAAGGTCCGATAGGCAGTCGAATGTGGGTAGCTTACATGCAATGCATATTGCTTGCGCTCTAACTGCCTCGGTGGTTCGATCAGCTGCATGGAGATTCGTGGCAGTAATCGAGCCGTCTTGTTTGTTCATTGAACAGAACAAACGCAGGAAGTTGCTGAGACCGCTTTCGGAAGAAGAATCAATGAACAGGTACCAAATCTAATATTGTACCAGAATATACATCGTGTTTGAATGCCGGGGCCTCTGTCAGCCCTACACAACTCAATTCCCCACTGCCAGGCCAAATCGCGTTAGAGCTGCAGCTAAGCTCGCACGCCCGACGCGCCTCGCGTCCCAAACAACTGCGCATCTTCGTCCACATCGAGAATCTCCAAATAGCGAGAAGAATTGTCGCAACTCAACGGGATACATTTGCAACCTTCGTGAACGCTCGCAATTTTCCTTGGGCCTATAATTTCGCCTAACAGACCGCGCGCGCAAGTCGACCACCACCTCGCGCACCCCACCAATCCCACAACACCCATCCTCAACCACCACCACCACCAATTTCCCCATGGCGACATCCTCCAACCCCCTCGGCCCCGGCCCACGCTACGGCCTAAACCGCACCGCACCACCCCAACAACCCACCCAACCGCAACCCACCTTCAGCAGCACACCGGCCTTCCCGCCCAACCCCAAAAACGCCCAACGCCTTGAATCCGAGCGCCTAGAACGCGAGCGCGCCGCGCGCGAAACCGCCCAACGCATGGAAGCCTCTGGCGCAGCCTCCCTCGCCGAGCTCACAGAAGAACAACGAGAAGAAATCGGCGAAGCCTTCAACCTCTTCGACCTCGACAAGGACGGCTACATCGACTACCACGAGCTGAAGGTCGCTATGAAAGCACTCGGGTTTGATTTGCCCAAGCAGGAGATTCTGGGCATTTTGCAACAGTATGGGACGCAGGGGGGTCAGCAGGGTGGGAAGCAGAGTTCGAGACAACAACAGCAGCAGCAGTATGCGGCGCCGGGCAGACAGTTACTGAGCTTTCAAGCGTTTCAGACGCTCATGGCGCAGAGGATCTTGAGTCGTGATCCGAGAGATGAGATTCTTAGGGCTTTTGAGCTATTTGACGAGGGCGGGAAGGGGACGATTACTCTGCAAGATCTTACGCGTGTTGCGAGGGAACTGGGTGAGGCGCTGTCGCATGATGAGTTGGTGGCTATGATTGAGGAGTTCGACATGGACAACGATAACGCGATTTCGAGGGAGGAATTTATTCAGATCTGCATGGGGACTTGAGGAAGGGTGAAGGGGATTACTGTTATATTAGTTTGCAAGGCGTTCCCGGCGTTGCCGTCATGGCTGCGAGAAAGGAGGTCATGCGAGTCAATTTCAATCTTGCTTTATTTGCGCCGAGAAACTATTTACAGCTCAGCTCTTCAAAGTAATTGCACGCCGAAATCAAAATTCAAACTCATGGAAAATGCATAGTACAAATCTCCCAGCTCATCCTCTACTGGCCGGGCGAAACGAGAAGACCCTTCTTGGCGGAATCGTGTGCCCATCCACCTGCCAGCGCCTGGCCACCATTCTTCAATCCGTAGTCCTGCATCCTAGCCTCAAGCTCTGGCCTGAAATGCCTGATGAGACCCTGGAGCGGCCATGCGAAGGCCTCGCCCAACGCGCAGATGGTGTGACCCTCGACCTGCTTGGTCAACTCCTGGAGCATGTCGATCTCACGCTCACGACCCTGGCCCTTGGAGAAGCGGTCCATGATCTGGTGAGTCCACTTTGATCCCTCACGGCATGGTGTGCACTGACCGCAGGACTCGTGGTGGTAGAACTTGGCAAGACGGGTGATGGCACGGACGATATCTGTGGACTGGTCCATGACGATGACAGCGGCAGTACCGAAACCAGACTGCGAGTCCTTGAGCGCGTCAAAGTCCATCAGTTGGTCGTCGCAGATGTGCTTGGGCAGAACGGGGGTCGAAGAACCACCGGGAATGATGGCCTTCAAGTTGTCCCAGCCACCACGGACACCACCGCAGTGCTTGTCGATGAGCTCGCGGAGAGGGATTGACATCTCCTCCTCTACTGTGCAAGGGTGGTTGACGTGACCGGAGATGGCGAATAGCTTGGTACCCTGGTTGCGCTCACGACCGAAGCCGGCGAACCAGCTGCCTCCTCGTCGGCAAATTGTGGGTGCGACAGCGATAGTCTCGACGTTGGCGACAGTGGAAGGGCATCCGAAAAGACCGACGGCAGCGGGGAACGGAGGCTTCAAGCGAGGCTTTCCGGGCTTGCCCTCTAGCGACTCGATGAGGGAGGTCTCCTCACCACAGACGTAGGCGCCCATTCCTCGGTGGATGTAGACATCAAAGTCGTATCCGGAACCGCAGGCGTTCTTGCCGATAAGACCGGCTTGGTATGCCTCCTGGATGGCGCGCTGGAGTACGGTGGCTTCGTGGTAGAATTCTCCTCGGATGTAGATGTAGGCGGCGGTAGCGTTCATGGCACGGCCAGCGACGAGGCAGCCCTCGATGAGCTTGTGGGGGTCCTTGCGCATAATCTCGCGGTCCTTGCAGGTTCCGGGCTCACCCTCATCGGCGTTGACGACCAAGTAGCGGGGCTTGCTGTCCTTGTCCCAATCTTTGAAGTTCATGAATGACTGCATCCATTAGCAGAGGTCGCGGTAACAGATCTTGACGTTGCCTACCCATTTCAGACCAGAGGGGAAACCAGCACCACCTCGGCCACGGAGACCAGAAGCCTTGATCTCAGAGATGATCTATATCCGTCAGCCTTGATTCGTATGCCGTGTACGATAGCCTCTACACACCCATTCGTGACCCTTGAGCAGGATCTCCTTCGTCTTGTGCCAATCACCGTACTTCTGCGCGCTCTTCAGATCCGCGCCGTGGTGTCCGTACAAGTTCTGGAAGATCCTGTCCTGGTCCTTCAAGCCGCCATATGTCCTCTTTGGTGGCGCATCCTGGACCGTCGCGAGCGTCCTCTTCTGTGTGCGGTTCTGGGGGGCGGCCGAAAGGCGAGTAGCTGCCGAAGCCGCGGGCAGCGTTCGGTGGGCGGCCGCGCTGAGCGCCGATGAGGCAGGTGCGTGTCGTGCGAGCATCGTGATTGCTGTATGTGTGTTGTCTCGCGCAATTGATGCTCGGGGGTCCAGCGAGCGTTGGGTCTGGCGATGCGAGTGGTGGCGGTCGTGAAGTTCGATCTGGATGACCTACCGTTTTCTTGGCGTCTTTGATTGGCCCGAGCCAACATCGTTGACATCAATCCGCCAGGAAGGTCCGACTCGACGGCACCATTATCATCATCGTCACGGACCATCGACGAGATGCCGCAAGGATGCAATTACACTCCTTTCGTCCAGAATCACTCGCAACACGACTCTGAGCTCCTACAATCCATGGATTTCCGCGAATTTGAGCCATGTTGCTATAGATCAACGCTCTTCAAGTAAAGCTCTTGTCACTGTACAGTGTCGTCCTCTTATCCTGTTCATGTCGAGCATTAATGGATTCGTATTCTCGCAATTTCGTCAAGTATTCGACATCAATTACAAGTACATATCTAAAACGTCGCGGGACATCTCCACGAAGGACGGCACACGCCTTTAGGACAAGCTAATGGTAGTCTCGTTGATCGCAGGTCATCGAACATTTAGTTTGTTGTGTGGAATGTCCGATAGCTACGAGCTGTCTTGCTGGAGACCCTGATTATATAGCGCGGCATCTTATCAACACACATCATTCCTCTTGTCTAAACCTCGTGGTAGTGGATCATGGTGGATTCCAAGGTACGTCTCACTTGCCACGTGGTTACTGGCTTCCGCCTTCGCTGGTAGCAGAGCTCTTGAAGTTCTATATAATACTCCTCTCTCATTGCACGACTCCTCTTCCCTCCCCCATATAGTTCTAACCGAGCGTCCCTTCATCATCATTCATTCATTTCAGTGGTAAGTTCCCCTTTCTTTTCCATTCATGATTCCAGGCATCAAATAAGCAGCCCTACAATCCCGAGCTCCCGCAAACCCCTGTATCCGCCTGCATACGTCAAATTTTCTGGAAGGTAAGGTAAAATACCACTCAGACGGATACATCATGGTCAAATCTGGATACATTGCAGCAGCAACCCCCGGTCGGGAGAATACAATGGTCTCCGACGGCAAACGAATGCGAATCCTTTGGCACCATGGCGATGGCAATGGCGACTCCAACAAGGCCTTCGTTATGCGGTCGAAGACTACAGTCCGCGGTCATCCAACCTGGAAGATGTACATGGGGAAGGTACCACGTCCCATTATCTATGGCAGAAGGGAGCCCCCAAGGTATGTATACCTCGACGACAAAGCCTGCTACGCAGTATACAACTCTCAAAAATACACCGCGAAGGAGCTCAGCACATTCTGGCCCTACGATTTTGACAATCTGGGCAACATCAAAGCCAGCAGGCCGAATCGTGGCCGGCCAGCATATCTCGAAAACTCTACCACGGTATTCGCCAGGGGTCCACTTCTTCGCAACAAGACAGCCGAATATGAGTTCTGTGGTCGCCCCGCCTCGCCAGAATATACCCCTAACTCGCGCGTGAAGAGAGCAGCAGAGGATGCGCAAGCAAAGAGAATCGAGGCTAGCACAAATTTCGCTCAGCGGTACCATGCCGGCTATGCTCAAGCCTAGTCCCTACGTCCCTGGTCCTATAGACGGTAACATCAAGCCACTGAGCATCACCGACAGGGCTGTCCAGGGCTCACCGTACTTCGACATCCCAGCAGCAGCCATGCGGAAGCGACCTAGACCTATTCCCGGTGACATGGCTGCAGTATATGCAGGTTTCACTACTAATCGGAACGCTGAGGCCGCTGGGATTAGCGCTGGACCAGAGGCGAAGAAGGTCAAAGTCAAGCAAGGGGCGGACATTCAGAATGAGCTGCTGGCGATCACAGACAAGCTAGACAGCTCTGAATAAGGTGGGTGGCGCAAAAGCGGTCCTAAAAAGTTTTGTTTGTTTGCTGTTCTGGGCGTTGACAAGATGGGCGGACGTTCATTGATGTCTTGAAGGACGACTGGGCACTTTTGGCTGAAAGTTAGCAGGGAGGAGGTAGTTGATTAACGGCAATCCAATTATAGTCAACTTCACAACACCATTGTTTTCAACTTCGATAACGTCACGCGTTCGCGCTAAGTATTGCTGCAGGCTGGTGCCGTCTTCGCGGCTTCCACTCCACCCGACTTGCACCAAACAGCACAACACGAAACCGGACTGCATGCAGGGCCTCGCGAAGAAGATATCCCGGAATCCCGGCCGATGTGTCATTAATGATGTCGGCGAATGAGACCCACTTATTCGGCTGAGACCTTTTGGCGCCAACGAGAACTCATCTGCCCACCTGGCATGTCTGACTCACAATGCGTGGCCACAAGCTTTGTGGAAAGCCAGAACATTCCAGTGGCAGCGAGCCGGGTCTCGCTCGAACAACAATGGTCACTGAGACAAGCCCGGGACGGCATATGTCTCTGAGCCACGCTGTTCGTGCTGAGAGTTGCTGTGGAGGACAGTGAGGGCTCAAGGTTCGTCTGCATACTTAAATCATCTACTCTCTCAAAGCTGAGTTCTTGTTGCATAATCCAGCTTGTACCTAAAATCTCCGACCCAGCACCTCTCTGTTTGTGCAGACTCGCAAAACTCCGACAGGTAAGCGATCTTTACGAATTCGTGGGTGCTTTATTGGGAGATGTGACGCTTTCGTGCGCTAAAAGCAACGCGTCCACTGTCTGATATCTTGACTGACGTTCTTCCAGTTTCATCATTCGCCACCTGTTTTGGCTCCAAATGCCGACTCTCAATGCGGGTTCTCACATGGCGACCCTCAAAGCACCCGAAACATTGGGAAGACTACTCGAAGCTACCTTCAAAACAGCCCGAGTTCATCATTACACCGAGCCTTTGGGTCTCCGACAACCCTCTGTAGGTAACAAAGGCGCAACCAAACGAGGACGCCCTAGATACGAGGGCATAGCCAGCGACCTCAACAAAGCGACTAAAGAGATTGTGGATCAAATCGTCGACACGTATCTCTCCGTGGGAGATTTATGTGAGACGATATGTTCACAGCCTACCTTTCTCGATGCGAGCATAGAGCCGCTCCTGAAGGAGCATGGTCCCTGGTTATGGAACCACAATAGTTCCTTCAAGACATGTGCCAACGACATCGACAAACTGAACCAGGACTATGTTCGCCCCGATTACCTCTTGTACGAAGACGATCAAGATCGCGTCGAGTCAGTATTGTAACAATGGGTCTGAGAACTAGCTAACGTATTCCTCACAGCATCAAAACGCTCGTGTCTTGCTGGATCCTTCAGCGTGCATGCGTGAGAATACGGGATCGTCCTTACCAAGAAACCGAACTCTTCTATATGGCATGCGTTCTGCTGTTTATACAAAGAACGCATCGCGAGATCAGTCTCCGGGGACTGAATAGGTCAGCATGTTGACTTTTCTGGGTGTAGGGTTCAATTAGGGCTTTCGCGCATGTTCCATCTCTGTTATTGTAGGTTACACAAGGGTCAGGAGTTTGTTGATCTGTTTTTTTCGTTGGAAGGAAATCAGTACATGGCGTTATGGAAGTAATTGTACGTTTTTAACCTACTCTTTCTACTCGATCAAGTCAACGCTGCATTTTGACAGACGTCCGAAATGTCCTCCGGGCCGATCTTCACTAGGGATCGGAACATATGACCCCTGCCTCGGACCTACAATTGTCGGAACGTCGGCTAAGGCGACGCCATAGACTAGGGGGTCCGGCTCCTGGACTCCTTGTTTCTTCCCGGCCCCTGTGGTGTGCGCCTCCGACCCAGGAAATTGAATAGGAACGTGCGCGGTGCGTTCCGCCGCAAGAAAGGGGCGTAAGGGGTCGCTAGTTATTGCCAGGTCCTTCACCGGCAGGATAAAGATGCTGGCAGCAATGCGGCGCGGTTGCCTCTACAGCTGAATCGAGTTAGCGTCAGTGTTTGTGTATCAGCCACTAGACAATATGCAGTGCATGCACGCTCCCAGGTAGAAGCGACGCAAAATCCCCAAAGCTTCACCGATAACGGTACTCAGCACTTTCTCTTATTGCCAATCACTCGCTAACGTGTGCGATTCGGACTCACGTGCCATGCAGTCTCGGCTCGACAAGCCACAAACCATCAGTCTGCGCATGAGAACTATTGCAGCCACCCTTTGAATCACGGCGTCTATCTTCCTTTACTTTTCTATTCCCAGGGGTTTGGTCTTGTCAGCACCATTGCCTACGCTGCGGAGGGTCATCGGCAACGCCAGCCTAGGCAGTTCTTTATTCCCGAGACCAGACGGACTCATCGAGAGCGCCAGTTTCTTGCTGTGACACAATCTTTGAAACATTAGTGTGGCCAAGCTTTCATTCCTCGTATTTCCCACGAAAGATGTATGATTTCCTTCAAGGTATGGCTGGCTTACAGCCTATGAGATCCCGAACGCACGGCCTGCGGCAACGGTTTTGCTACACCCGTCTGATAAGGCACTGGGTGATCAGCAACGATTCGCTGGGGAACGAGCACCGCTCCTCCCGTTGAAGAACAGCAGGGAATCTGGAGTGGGTAGGACGTAATCTCCGCTCCGCTCGAAATCCGCAAGGGACGCTCTCAGACCAGATCTTGGCCTGTTGCCTAACGTACTTGGACGTCTTGCAGCTCAACATCATCTCAACATCATTTCAGCCAATGGGCTAACTTTGTGTAGAGCTATGAAGGTCCTTCGTCGCCGATCATGGAAGCAATCTGGCACGAGACGACGTTCCCCGAAATTGCATCCTCAGAATAGGAGCTGCGAGTGTCGTCCAAGCTTCTCTACTGGTAGAACCACGGTAGCTGTTCTGGCATAGCGTACCCCGATTCCGGGAAACCACCAGGTAAATGAGTCATAGTATGCGAGGAGTAGATTCTTCTCCAGGTATGAATCCTTCCGGCGATTCGGCGAAATAGTCCTGCGCTTGGCTGCCGAAATCATCATCTTTCTGGGCACAAAACATACTCTGGTATGTAGACGTTGCTGTGTTGTTATAAGTAAAGCATTAGGATGCCATCTCTGCATACCACATGGGGAGTCTCGCAGCACGGCACTGCAGAATAACCTCGTCCTTCTTCGGTAGCCTCTGTATTGCGCTTACTGTGTTCATCACATCGAAGCAATCACTTTCAGACGCTATCAACGCCCTGTAGTCTCTACGACTTCGATTCTACTTCGAAGGTGCGCACAATATCCCCTATATGCATTCTGAGAAGGAAGACATCGACTAACTAACAGCAACAGAACTCACTGATCCTGGGGTTATGCCACCAGATGATGATTCCCTGAGCTTGATGGAGGAATGCACCAAGGGGGGAATACACGCTGTTGTATATCTGTCACGCCTTGGGCTACTCAATCTAGCAAAGGATCCTAGGAAGTGCGGCAAGCCAGACTTCAAATCAGTACCCGAAGTTCAACGGTTCTGGGATTCAACGAAGCCTATTGTCGAGTCTATTGCGACGCAATACAAGACAAGAAACGCTATACGCAATGCTCTCCGAGATCGACACATCTGTCTAGAGGAAATCTCAAGAGATTGTGTAGATAAGTTCGGCCAGCAGGTCTGGAATGATGGCGTTGAAAAATCTTTCGTTACACGTATCGATACTCCGGACAGAGTCAGCAAGAACCACAAAGCCAAGGATACCTTCAGAGTTCAGAAGTCTACGAAAGTCAAGGCTCGTGTCAAGATTGCCCAGAGCACGTATCCAAGACATCTAATCTACGAAGATCGAAGTGATCAACACAAGTAAGTTAGCCTACCAACAATATATTCTCAAGCGTAAGGTACTAAGCTCACTTCACATAGAATACGTCTGCAAGTCTCTGCGTGGATCATCCAGCGCGCCTGTAGAAAAGTCGAAGCCGGTGGAAAGAAGAACCCTTACAAAGCACGGGTGAAAGCGTCTACGAGACCTTCGAGCTTCGTAGCAGCAGTCCGTGCGAATCGGGATGAGTCTCCTCGCAGTCCCACCTTGTCATCAAATGATGAGACTGATGAATTGGTGAAAACGTCTACGAGATCTTCGAGCTTCGTGGAAGCAGTCCGTGTGAATCGCGATGAGCCTCATCGCTGTCTCACCTTGTCATCAGATGATGATATCGATGAATTGGACTTTGACTATTGGGCTGGCACTTCAGGGAACACCAAACACGCAGAAATGATCAATGCTGTTCCTCGAAGTCAGCTGCAATCACCAGGAGCATCTCAGAATCCAGTTCAAACTCCTGCACAACGATCCAATACCAAACGCGTAGCTGCTGTGGTATCCCGAAGGAAGCCCTGGAGTTCCAAAACCACAAGAACGGTCAAGAGGAAGCCGCAGCGAAACGAACTGGTAGGAAATAAGCACACGACCGCGCAGTCTGTACGAAGCAACGCGAAGAAGGCACCAACGAGAACACAACCAGTAACGAGCCTACCCCGTACGAAACAACCTCGTTCACTCCTCCGTCCTGTAATGCCAGCAACAGTCGACGATCAAGTCGGGAGTGAGAATGCTGTTCAAAGTCTGGGCTCGATGTCGAACCAGACACTTCTTGATCGCGGAGAGCTGGGAATCCAGCTACTTGTTCTTCTCGAATCACAGAACGCTGGACATCATGAGATCGCACACACGCAGAACACTATGGAGCGCATCAAAAGTATAGCTGTGCAATATTCCGAGGAGCTAAAAAATGCGCTGCACAATGAGTACGAAAAGTGTAAAGTGGCTCTGGACAGATGGTTAGCATGCATGAAAACACTTGTCGAGTTCCGCAAGAAAACCGGACTTTCCGGCGATGGACCCAGCATATTAGCCGGCTTCGAAATGCTTCCACTGGAGAAAAGGAAAGGGCAAAGACCGTACTTGGAAATGTGCCGAGATGTTCGT